GGTTTTGAATAAAAAATGTGAACCTTGCCAATGCAGTGCAGATTTAGGTCATACTAACTGTGAAAAACGTAAGAATCCACTTCGTAGTGTCCTCGTAACCGTTCTGCAGGTGAGTGACTCTTGCTTTTGCAACAACTGCATGGTCAGAATAGTCTTTGCAAGGGCCCCTAAAGCAGAAAGAACACTGAACAGCCCGCAAGCACGGCGCCTTTAATTCTTCTAGAGTTCAATAACAGAAAAGAAAAAAGGAGTGACATCTGTTGTTAATTAAAGCTGTAATTGTTAATGGATCAAACAAGAAAGATATGTCCCTAGTTGAACGGCAGTGAAAACCTATTATTATTCTCTTTTGCTACTAGACTGTTTTGTAACATAAAAGAGTCCTTGTTTTGCAAGCATGCCCTTAATCTCTCGCGCTTTCCTTCTCAATCTCTGTCACACACATGCACAGTCTGTTGCTGTCTCTCATGCTGTGAAAAACAGATTCTCAGATTAAGCCTCCTCCAGATTGAAGATTCTTACATGAAACGCCTGGCAGTAAAATATTATGAGTGGCAAAAGATCATGAAGCAGTTTCAAAAGAAAAAAAAAAGCTATCCAAAACAGAAGATAGTCAATAGTCCTTATCACGAAATGATGTTAACCAAGGACTACACAATTGTTTACAAACTCCAGTCCACAGGCACAGAGCTGATGTGCGTAGCTGAGTGCAGGGAAGCCAGTCTCTTTTTGGTCTCAGTACTACTTAATTCTGTCTGACATTTACACAATTAAATTACTTGGTCTTCACTGATCATTTTTTTCACTTGTGTTTCACTTTGTTATAGCTACCAAATCTTGCTCTACTGAACTGTTAATAGAAGGATTGGAGGCTTGATGCTAGTATTTCTTTAAATGCAACACCAGATTAAATCTTGACTTCATTAGCAGGTATATCAAGCAATACTTTCATAGAGGTGGCAATTCTGTCTTCTATGAGTACGTCTATATGAGAATTTAAACCATTACATAAAATTTCCTGTTTATAATAGAAGCTCTCAAATACCAAATATTATTTTTGTACAAATACTGGGAACTTCAGGCTTAGCTGCAGTGCTTCTTCCTCTACTTACAGGCACAAGATCTGCTATCTCGGAAACTCACACCAGTGTGATGGTGGCACTGGGGATCCGGAGTCAGGACCCATGAGCAGAGCAGGTGGTAGCTCAACCTCTCACACATGTTTGGCCAGTCTTGCTGAGCTCCATGTTGCAACACCAGTGCTCCCCTATACCTTCCCTGTAAGACAGCCTATTTTTAAAATATGTGAAAATACAAATACAGAGAGTAAATTAGTACACAAATGATCTATCTTTAAAATACACTAAACATTTTCAAAAATTTTTAGAAATTTTCAAAAGGAAAAATCAGTAGAAAAACTCTATAATAGCACAGAAAAACTAGCATTAAAATAATCCAAGTTTCTAAAAGTATTTTTGTCTAATACGTGAAATTTGTCTTACAGTCTTATGTAATTTATGCTTGCTCATTTTTTCTGGGCATCACATTTATTTCTGCTAGGCTCATCTTCTTTCAGGCAAACCTTGCAGTTAGTTTCCAAAGCTCTCCTGATACAAACATCTTGTAAAGCCTTCTGCTCGTAAAGGAGTCAGGCCCAATAAAGCATGACTTTCACAGCACCATGCAAAGACACCTCTGCACTGTGGGTTTTTGTTTTTCAAAAATATACATGGAACCTTTTTTTAACTTTTATTTTGTGATTTTTTTTTTTTGTCAGCATTCTCAAGTTCAGACCTTTCTAAAGACACTTGCTAAAGAACTGCTAGTCCCCTGGCAGGGACTAGAGGAACGGATATTATTTATTTTGGCATGTGTGGCCAGTATTAGTGTTAAAAATACAAGACATTTGACCAAGGTATTGGTCCAAAATAACTTATTTTTTTTTAATAGATTATGGTTATAATAGCATTGTGACACTGGTGATATTTCAGGACCCAAATAAAGAAGAAAGCATAACTTGATTTTTGGAGGAAAAAAGAAAAATAAAGGCTTGTTTACTGAGGTGAAGTTCACCTATGAGAGGATGACATCTTTTAAGTCCTGTAAATAAGCTAGCGTATACAATCTATCTAAACCATATATAGAGTGAGATTTCAGTAGCAGCTAAGCAATGATAGGGCTTTTCAGCATAAAGTGGGGTTTTAAGTATTTCTGTTAATCTTCTGAAGAGTTGAATTACAGTAAAGTGCAACCGTCCTCTGTGGGCAGGGCTAGATACTTCTTGCCAGCTAACTGGCCCTGTTTGTTAAACACTGCAGGCTAAACTGACCTTCCCAAGGACAGTGAGAAGCACCAAGCGCTCTCCCTGCCCTGATGTGACAAGGCCGGGCAGTAAAAAAGAAAGCAAAGCAACAGGGAGAGTTCAGAGAACAAAAAAATGAAGCACCAGAGTCTTTGTGTGTCAGCAAAAGGCAGTATAATCAGTTCTAAGGATTGTGTCTCTATTTTGTCTGGCAGAAGGGAGGGATGGGGAGCGGGGAAACTGTCTCTGCTTTCTGAGAGCTTGTGTTGCAGGAAGCCTCATGAGCACTAGCCATGCTAATGTATGTCAGTTGTTTTGAATATAAACCTGCATGAAGTTTTGCATCTATTTCTTTATAACTTTATAGACCAGTACTACACACAGGAGGACTAATCCTTCTAGCTATTTGCAGTGCTGCTTATGTATGTGCTCTAACACTACTAAGACAAAGAACAGTTGGGAGAACTACACAAGGAAATACTTTTCATAGTTAATAAATAGAATAAATCAAGTGCCAAATAGAAGCCTTAGCTCTTAGGGTCATAGATTTTGTCCTAATAATATGAGCTAATAATATGAGTCATTATAGGTTAATATTACACTCTCCTACAAATCTAATGTGCGAGTCGCTCCATCAACTAATGAAAGCGTTAATCATCATCTTCCAAAACATTCTTGATTTCCCCCAGTGTGCTTTTTTTTTTTTTTTTTTTTTTTTTAGTTAGAGGCTGAAACAAATGATTGCCACTGGCTGATCTATTCAGCAGTACTGAGGATCAAACTGACTCACCTTCCACCGCAGTCGATGGCAAATTAATTCTGAGTAGAAGAGTGTTCAAGAACTGACAGTCGCTCAAAAATTTTCAGTTTATTCTATCCAATAGTTCTATGCTTTAGATGTACCACATTTCAGAAATGAGACCTTGAAACAAGAGGTTTCGTGGGAAAAATATTTTACATACCATTTTGAACCTCAAAATTTTTTTTAAAGAAAGGACTGCTGCTCACTGGTACATGCTCTAAATACACTGTGTTTGCAAGAGAGAAAAGAAAAAGAAATCAGCTTTAACCATATCACAGTGATCAAACAAAAATTTCCTTTCTTTTCCTAAATACTTACACAGGGCAGCCAGATAAATGCACTGTTTCACCACTATAAAAATGCTGCTTTACTGATTTTATTTCAGCTTTTCTAGTTTATTTCATTTGTGTCTTAATATACAGCGTCGTAAATAACATTTCATGCATTATTTATTGTGAACAAGATGTAGGATGAATCAGCAGCTTAATTAGAGCCCCAGTACAGTGCAGTTTGCTTTGATGAGTTGTCCCAACTATACCAAGTAGTTTAATGGCTGCCACTGAAGCTAAACTTCTTGTCATTAAAAACCTGATGTGTTACAAGTTCCCTATTTGCACATCCTAAATGGTCCTGAACATCTGGTTGTAAATTCGTATGAGCAACCTGTGATTCAGAAGCAGCAGCTATTAACAACTTAAGATATTAAACGAGATCAGATTTTTATTAAAACTGTTGTTTCTGTCTGTGCTTCGAAAGTGGATTCCCGGCAACTCTGAGCCAAATTCATTTGAAAGCTGGAAACAGCATTCAAGGATTCAGAGCAACAGAACTACGCACTATTTAATTCACCTAATACCTGAATTCCGAAAAACAGAGCATGATAAAAACAAAATATTCTGGTTATCAACTAATTCAGGGGAAAAAAAAATCCCAGGGTGTTCATACAAGGCACAGAAGAAATTAGGCAGAATTACACAGACCTCTTCCCTGTCCTTCCTAACTCCTTCATGGGCTGCTAGAATTTCTAAGAGAAAATTGTCCAGGAAACATTCGCTTCTCAGCATGTGTAGATGGATGGAAAAACTGTGGGCAAGGAACTTAACGTATAAACAGAAGGAAGGTAGAACTTTCCCTTGCCAGCCCACAAAAATATTAGTCAGGTATAAGGGGAGAGTAATTTTGTTCAGTAAATGGTAGAGGGAGATTAGACTGAGGAGTATGAGCAGTACTTGGTGCAGGCTCACCTTTCCCAGCAGTCTAATTAAAGGCCAAGTGCCCGTCCCTCATTTGGTTCATTCTGTGCTGCTGTAACCCAGCCTATGACACATGAAATTCAGGACCTCAATACATTATTTTTGAGGGCTCTGTTATGTGCAAAGTGACTTGTGTTGAATTAGGGACTTCAAAATTAAGTTCCTGGCTGCTCTGCCTTTCTTGCAGGCAGACAAGGGTTTCTGCAGTCAAGCCCCTGTGCCTATAAGCAGTGCAGGAGAACTTCAGTATTGGGTTATAAGCCTGACAGGACTTCACTGCCTCCCAGTGAGGGGACAAGGGGCCCCCATCACAGGGTTCATCAAAAACAATACAGAAATGGCTTTCCAAAGTGTTCAGATTTGGGGATATCAATCCAAAGGAAGGAGTTGGGGCAAACCCAACTTCTGCACTTCAGGATGCCCATGTAATAACAACCAGAATGGATGGATCCCAGTGACATTTCTGCTCTTTTTACTAAGGTACCTCACAAAGACATTTCCCATTGCTAGGGATGTTTGTGGTGACAATCACTTAGGAATCAATAATTGATTCCCATCTAAAGTTGAAATTCAAGTCAGCATTCTGAGTGCTCGTGAGAAAGAATACTATTAACAGCCATTACTGTGCTAATTATTATTTCAGGCCAAACTTCTAATAATTCAGTGGGAGAAATATCTGTGCAGGTGGATGTTTCTACACACCCTGGAACTGGCGAGCATAAAGTTACTGTAAAAGGTAAGTTTCAAATAGCTAGTTTTAAAAAGAAAGCAACAACGACAAACTGCAAGACCCACAGCTATTCCCGGCTCTGTAAAAACCCCTATAATGAAAGGACAGCTGTCTGTTAAGAAGTATTGCAGTGCTTCTGTGCTGCTAAAGCTGAGAGTGCGGGTCAGGTTGTTAGGATCATACATTTCCCTGCTCAACATCAGCAGGAGCCATGATTATAGAGGTCAGTGTCTATGATGAATCATTACACTAAATTTGCTTTTAACAAATAAAATCCCTTTGTTCTGCACAGTCTGAATTCCAAAGCAACCACAGTTTACTTTATATAAGCTGATTTTTGAATTACAGAGGAGGTAGCAGACCAAACAGCTGTTTGGTCAGTATTTGTGAAGTACACATTTGTATTTGCTCCTGTTGGAACTAGAAGCATTCAGACCTCTTACTCAGCAGCTACCAGGCAGGCTGCCAGCTATTGATTTTACATAGCAAAGATTTCAGGTCACCCTCCAGTGACCGTTCATTGGCTGTATAAAGTCATACCGGATAATCAATTGGAGTTCTTTCAATGGGACTTTATTCGTTAACCCCTTTTTTATTTATTTCTTTTTAGTTGTAGCAATTAACAATCTAAATTGGCAAACAACAGCTATGTTCCGACCATTTGTGGAAGTCTGCGTATTAGGTCCTAACCTCAGTGACAAGAAACGAAAACATGGAACTAAGACAAAGAGCAACACATGGTCACCAAAATACAACGAAACTTTCCAATTGTAAGTCTTTTTGGTCTGTTAATTGCATGTTTTATACAAATTTTGTCAGAATTTCTTGCATTTTTATCTGTAAGGACTGAAAAATCCTAAGGCCAGGGTCAAAGAGCACTGCAAAACAATTTGTTAATTGGTATCGGTTTTACACTAAGATGAAAGACAACCACTAGGCTTGCAGTCTTAATAAAAGCTGGTTAAAAAGGACAGTTCTTTTCTATGAACAAAAAAAAAATATTTATGTACCTGGGAGACCATTTGTCTTAAGCTTCATCTGGACTTGCTGCTAGAGATCTGGAGCATTATGTCTGTGGAGATACCCAAAGATTTAAAGCATTATTTATATGTTAATGTTACATTCCTCTGTTATAATCTTCAGACTGACAGGCTTTCCCCTCAGGCTGGGGATTTTAAAGCTAACATTCCCCACAGCACCTCTCTTCAGCCCTCCTCTCCTTTCCCGACCGAGATCACTTCATTTTCCACGCACTGAACTCCCGTGCACCCTAGGCTTCATTTCTCTGCGCCTGCCCCCCGGGGCTGCCACGCGGTCGCTTTGCCCCCTGCTGCAGCTGCGATCCCAGCCGGCCTGAGGAGCGCGGCCGAGTCAGCGCTGCCGCGTGCTCCTGTGCGCTGCAGAGCAGCGCGTAAAGGAGGTGGAGCAGAAAAGCAAAATATCCAGTGACGTTCAGGAACCAATCCCAGTATGTCTACGATCTGGAGCAGAGCGGCCCCTCCTCTCCTCAAGGGATGAAGTGACCTGCAAAGTGAACAGCGGTTTCAGGCAGGATGAGGCTGTACCACAGATCTAGGCAGGGCATGTGCGGATTCCTTACAACAGTTGCATAATTGGGAACATTTGCTCCAGTTGGGTTTAGTCTGTCAGTAGGTATATTTCTAATTAATTGCAAGTAGCCTCCAGGCTTGCGGGGTATTAGCCACCTTGTGTGTGCTAAATACTGCTGTTAGACAAGTTTTAAAATGGTATAGAGCATCTCTAGCTATCTTAGAAGGGGATACATTTTACCCTTAAAAATCAGGTACAGTACTTAATGCACAAAGAGTGAATAAAACAAAGCAGGAAACTGACAATGTAAAAAAGTTTTGATAAAACAAGTTATTAAAGTGGCATCATAACTGCCTAATACTGCATTTTTACTCTTAATTTTTAAGCCAACCTCATACTTGCATTATAACAGAAGCCAATATCCCCAGCCACCCAACTGAGAATTCTGAGCAAACACTAGGCTAGACCCTACAGCTAATTTGGACCTGGCAGAATCAACAGAAAGAAAAATTTAGCTGAGCTGCATTTTGTGTCAGGGAAAAGCTAATTTGAAGAGACTTACATCAGACCCATACGCCTACTAATGCAAACACAAACTTTCTGTAAGGACAGAAGAGAAACGGGAAATATTGATGTAGAAATTTACACTGCAGTTATAGAAGCCATGACATTTAGAAAACAAGATACTAAGATGAGAGGCTACCTCTACACACATAGACATTTCAGAATTACTAAGCTAGGAAGAACCATGCAAAAATTTGCAAGCAAAAATGTTTTGACATTTTAAAATATGGAATAGCTAAAAGAAAGTCATGTATGATTTAAGGTAGTGGTATCAATATTTCCTGTATTCTTTCAATTGTTAATTGTATAATGTCTGTGCTTAAACTACTTGAGCGTTTTATTTGATAGTTCCTGCTCAGGTCAGTGGGAATAGGCTACTTGACCAATTGGGTTAACCGTGTAAAAGGTTTAAAGTAAGTGATGCTCTGCTGCAGAAGTTGTAACTATCATTATCTTTATGAAGTTGATCAGATTTCTACAGCACGTTCATTTCTTAGAGGAATTAAACTGAACTCCTTGTTCTAAATTTGTATTTTTAATCCATGCAGTATTTTGGGTAATGAAGACAGGCCAGGTGCCTACGAGCTTCATCTCTCAGTGAAGGATTACTGCTTTGCCAGGGAAGATCGCATTATAGGAATGACAGTTATTCAACTGCACAACATAGCAGAGAAAGGTGGCTGTGCATCCTGGTACCCCTTGTTGAGAAACATCTCCGTAGATGAGACTGGGCTGACAATCCTTAGAATACTTTCTCAGAGGAACAATGATGAAGTTGCTAAAGAATTTGTAAGACTTAAATCAGAAACAAGATCTGCTGAAGAAACAGCCTAAAATACCCTAGGAATGCAAGATTGTCACCGCCAAGAACATAGCCCCTGTGCTGTTGTCCGAGTAGTGCATGCCTGTGCAAATCTGTGGGAATGTTCAACTAACCATGTCGTCGGTGTTTGCCAGTACTTAGGTACTATATTTGCAAAGTATGTCCAGGAGCTCTATATCTTTTATACATATTTTGGTCTTTGGTAAAGTAATTGTTCCAATAAAGTGCCAAAACTAAGATTAAATGATTCATTATATATTTTAAAATGATGATTTCACCTCATCTCAGTTCATTTATTTTTTAACATTTATTAATAAATAATTAGCTCTCTGAGTTGATTTATACACTGTCTCTGTTAAAATACTATGTTGCTTATTGTAAATTAAGTTACCTCCCTTACTATTAAGTTTAAAATGTAGCTAATTTCAAACTCTCATTTTATGCTAGCCTCATTTTAGATATCTTACAGATAACTTTTTCTATCATTACTACAGATGCAGTTACTTATAGGAAGTGTTTGTAATTTTATAACAACCAATATAAAGTAATGATTTTTGCATAAAAACTGAAAAAGGATGGAAATATTTTATGCTAATCTTTTTTCCAACCTTTCATAAATATCACTGTGAAGAAATGCTGTTAAAGCAAGTTCTTAAGAAGCTGTGCTTATCTGAGTTTGTTACTGATGTTTGATATCTTGAGATAACTTTGTTCTTCAAAACTGCCAAGGTAATATCATATTTGTATTAAAAAGGTAAGTCAATAAGTGTAGAAAAAGACTGCCACACAGAAGAGTATATGTGCTTTAAAAAAATCATTTTTTAAATGATATGGTACTGTATAAGGGTTAATAGTTTGGAATATGTAAAGTTGGTTTGTGGTTTGTTTCTAGAAAGTGTTTATAAAAAGTAATGATGCTGTTAGCATTTTCACTCAGAGTTATTAATGTTGCTTTACATAACTTAGCTGTGACATCAGTTAAGTGCTTAATTTCTTTTTTTTAGAAAAGTTCAGAAGTTTGTACTTATGCAACATTACTATGTATTGCACTAAAGCAACCTGTGTCCTGTAAATATATTTAGTGAGAAATTGTAAAATAAAGTATGAAGAAACTGCTTCCAGTTTTGTCATTTGATATCATTTAAATATCTATAAGTTTTAAATGCACGTGAGGCCAGTTTACAAGGCTACAACATGGCATTATGATATATCAAAGCATGGTTTCTGATGTCATCTTTCATAACTGTAAGATCTGATATGTCAATGAAACAGAAAATTACAACAAATGAAGTATTTTGTTAATGCGTATAATAAAATGTTCTGGTTCGCATATAAATATAATTGTTTATGCATACATGTATTTGTCATTTTTTTGGTTACAAATGTTCTTAGTATAACGGGCTGCCAATATCAGATTTGTTTAAGAAAAAACAAAAGGAGGGGGGGAATTATGACTAGGAGAGTTGATTCCAGGCTATTCCAATGCAGTGTGTGACTCCAGCTTCAGTGTATCTCCTGCTGAAGAACTATGACAGAGATTGGGATGGATACATTTCACCTCCCTTGTTATTTCATAAAGCAATTTCTCCGTGTGAAAGTGAAGAATTTTGTATTTCGAAAAATAATTAATTTAGACATTAAATGATTGCACTTGACTCCTACGCATTTTTGGGGATGTAACTTTAATAATCCCTATTAATCATAGTTTGGGTGTAATTACAAAGACTTGCAAAACTACCCCAATATCCATCTTGAAAATAACCCTCTTCCATCCTCTAAGAATTCAGATGCATTGTGTGTGTTGCGCTGTACTTAGAAGTAAAATCCAGGGGCAGTTCTAAGTAACTTCAACAAAATTTAAAAGGATTGTTTTTCTTAGCCTATATAATACTTCTTCCTGAGCAATTTCCATTTGGGTGTACAGATCTTAGTGCTCCTTAGTTCCTCCTTTTTGTGAGGCAAAGCAGACGTAAGCAGACACAGTCCCAAAATAAAAAGGGGAGAATAAACATGAGATAAGGTGGTTTTGCAATAGAGAACATTATTGTAAATAAAATGCAGAGAGAATCCCACAACAAACCATTTGTGGCTCCTTCAAATAAATCAGAAAGGCTGGGGTAGACCACATCTGTGTTTTACACCTGGAAGTACTTTGCTTATACATACGTATATATGTATGCATATATGTAACGTGGCATGCACTGTGCGGTGTAATATATTCGCCTGGCTTAAATGTTCATCCATGAGATTCACCTATAAGGGAGTAATGATTGACCTTGCCAAGGAAGTTTCTTCATGCTGAACAGTGTCCCTCATTAGAACACACCAGAATTAAGCAGGCAGTGTTGGCAAAGCAACAATAAAAGAAGCCTTATACAATATGCCTTAATGCGTCACTCTTTATAACAGAAGAATATCTACTTTCTGCATCAAAATTTGTTTTGTGGAAATTGAGAGGAAAATACATAAACTTTACATAACAGAGCTCTTGTTTTAAACATTTACTTGTGATTCAAAATGACATAGTGTAAGCAGGTCAAACATTTTATGTAAAGATGATTTATATAGAAAAGATTGCAAGACTATTTTAAGGGCTGTTATATTTTGTTTTAGAAAACTAAACATTCCATTTAGTTAAAACCACATGAATTTCCATTTATGAGAACAGTTCTTAGCTCTCCTGAACTGACCTTAGTGAACTGGCAGCTGTTTCCTCATTTCCATTTCTCAGGGACAACTGAACTAATATAACAAAATTAAAGCTGGAATTCCATTGCTATTAGCTTAAGATATTAAATATAAACACATACACTGTAGGAAACAAAGGGGAAAGTTATAGGGAACAACAGCAGAATTCAAGAACAAATTTTCTAACCTGGAAGTAACAGTTACTACATGGAAAACATTCGACATGCCTATATAGTAGCTTGTGATATGACAGCAATTCAGATTGACTAATGTATTTAAAACTGATGTTTCTGTATCTCAGTCCCGTGAGGGTTAAGAGAGAAGTTTCCTCTTTTCAATTTAGGTTTATAACATAGAAAAGTAATAGTCAAATGTAGTGAATAAAATTAAATTTTCCTTAATGTGCTTCATAGCTAATATCTGACAAAACAGGGATTAGTAATGCTTGAACTAAATATTTAAGTACAGATGAAGCTAATACTAAAAAAATATTCTGAAATCCAAAGAAGTTGAGCTAAAATAATTTTATTTAGCAACAAATGTAGGCCATAGCACCACCCATCTTCACACTAAAACAAGGTGCCTTAACCTCCACTTGGATAAACTGAATCACATAATTGGGGTTGGAAGGAACCTTTTGAGATCTTTCCTGCACACCATGACATTACACTAAGCCTAAGCTTTGATTCATTTCTGGCTGCACAGCTGTCTCATATGAACCCTTCCTGGACCATGGCAGCAATCACGTTTCCTGCAGAGCTTCCTTGCCCAAAGTAGTTAAATTTGTTCTTCATACAAAGACAATCCCAGCCTGAGTCAATCCTGCCTGAGTCACAGGCAGCTTTTTATTACTTGAGTGAAGTTAGTCTCTGCTCTGTCAGCTGGTGAGCCCTTCCGTGGAGCCCGGCAGCTGCACCACGAAAGGCCAGTACCAGACACGTGTGTTACAGACCCATTAACTCTTGTATCAGGCTTGCGCACACTGGTTGGACCTGCTCTGCAGCATATAACCTGGCAGGACAATATCTAAGTGGAAGCTTCATTCCCTCAGCACGTCCAGGTCACCTGCAATAGAGTCCAAATTCATTGAGCTCACTTGACTTCCTTTCCTCAGGGGCCCACTGTCCTCTCCTTCACTGCCCTCGGTAACCAGGAGTGCCAGAAAAACAGGTTTTTTTCCTTTCTTTTCGGGGGAGGCAAGTAGAATTGCGCTGTCTGAATTTCTACATCACCTGTTACACTCTTGTTTTGCTACCAAGCTCCTGAACTTCTGGCAACAAAGAACACAAAGATGCAATTTGAGTAGTTTGACTGGAAGAGCAGGAGCAAGTCATCCACCTAACAGCCCAGGCTGTCAACAACAAAGAGCAGATTTTTAGCATGCCATAGGAAGCCATTATAAAGCAAGGCCCTCAAATCCCCACCTCCATCTACTTTCCATCTATTTTTGTTAAGATACCATTTCATTTGCAAATATATACTGGAGTGAAAAATCTATTAAAATACCAATCTGCAAAACATTACCACTTGGATTAGTTATCACACTGTATTTCTCATACACATATTTTAGCATATTCCTATTATGTTCTTCATGCAGCATCCTCTTAGAAGTTTTCATTTAAACAGAGATCATTTATATGGTTCTATTTAATACAAGCATTCCATACTTAAAGATCAAGTTCCAAGAAGTGCTATATCGCCTTTGTTCCTTATATCAAAGGAAAAGGCTGGATAGGGAAAGCAGGGAGAGGGGGAGAATTTACAGAATTTATGCAATTAATTGCTAGTAGGAATTTTTGGGGCACTATAATACAGGAGAAGGTCAATCGCTTGAGCCTACCATCATTATTCCCAGCAGTGAGGTACCTGGCGACAGGCACCTGCTCTCAGTGAAGCCTATGGGCTCTCTGGCTGGCACAGGCTGCGCCCCTCTCCGAACAGGGCCAGGGCTGTTCCCTGGCATCCTGCGATCCAAGGGAGATGGGGAAGCCAGGCTAATCCTGGAAAGCCACAGTGCACAGAGGACTGGAGAGGGGTTGCAGCACAGCTCACGCTGCGAGCAGCAAGCAGTAAGCAGCCATCTGCAGTACGCGCCCCGCGCCGAAGGCAGAACAAGAGGAGCGGCAGGACGGGACTGTCAAGGAGAAAGCAGCGCACAAGGATGTGCAGCGTGGGAGCTGCAAAGGCACAAACTTGATGAACAGGTTAAACTGTCCTGGCTTAATGAGTTCTCCTGAGCCGCTCTGTGGGAACCACCTGCATGTTTGTGCCTAAGCCACCCAACTGCAAAGCAGAGCAGGTCAGCTGGAGCTGCTACAAGCATCCAGGGCTGGTTTCCCTAGCTCATGGGTAGAAGGTCCTTGGTTGACTGGAACACAAACTCCAGGAAGATTAAGAGGAACTTAAGCAAAAATATCCACTGGAGGAACATTAAACTTCTGAGAATAATGGATGTTTTTTGATAAACAGATGTCTTGTCAAGACTGTTGAGCCACTAATACAGGTTTATACAAGAAAAGGGATTAAGGAGCCAGCTGCCTACCCTAGAATCACACAGCAAGGGTGTGATTCCACAGGCTGGAAGGTCCCTCTGGAGATCATCTGCTCTGACTCAAGCCCAAAGCAGAGCCAAGAAGGGCAATCAGGGATGGAGGACGAGGGAGCTGGGCTGCCACCGTGCAGAGCTGCCGCAGCAGCCGTGTCCGCCACCCTCCTGCCTGCAGAGGTGCACTAAGGAGCACAGATCAACAGCAGCAGCAGCAGCTCATTTGTAGCCATGACAAGGCAAGGCAAACGGTTCACATAAATAGTAGCTTCCATAGCTCCCTGGCTAATTCAGAGTTGAGTGGGTCTCTAACAAAATTAGCATCATTGCCTTTTAATAGTGATAATTACATAATCTGTACAGGGTCTCTGTATAAAGATCTTTCATTATGAAAACAAGATGTAATAAAATTAAAACATGACTGAGTTTAGAGATTTAATCATTACATCTAATGCTAATCAAGGATATAATTATTATTTTGGTTTTAAGCTCTCCATTAATTCACAGCTGTCCAAAGGCAGTTGTAAATGGTACATCTAATTTCTCACACTTACTATTTTTGATAAGAAAGAAAGTACACAAAATTTCTTTGTAGAGACCTTTTATCATTTCTGCCTGCCCTTTGTCCCTATGATTAAATGAATGCTGATTTGCATGGTGTACTCAGCTGGAGACTTATTGCATTCATATATCTACAGGAAAGAGGCTTGCATCCAAGTTCTCCCCACGTATTCAAAATGAGAATATATACATGAAATGTGCTGAGCATGATAGCTGAATAAAAAGTAGCTATTTGAAAGTATAGATTTTTATAAAAAATAATCCAACATATGTAAACTAAGCAAAGCAAAATGTTTCTGGAGGAAGAGGAAACTAACTTCAT